TATAGCAAGTGAAGATGGTGCCTTCCCCTGCACCCTTTTTTTTTTTTTTAAAGGGATTAGCAAGAATGAGAGCAAGGGGAAAATTAGTTTTCAAAGCATCAGTGGTTTCTCTTTCAGATAATATTTCTAATTAATATCCTAACTAGCACAAATAAGAGCATCTGTGATTCTAAACCTCTTACCAGAGCCTTGGGAAACCAAAGTTTCTTGACTTTAGTTCAAACAAGTTTTAATGTTCATGTTTTACAGATGTTGTCTATCTCTCTACAGCCATCATGGGAGTGAACAGTGATGCTCTTTTTCCAATTGCCTTGAGAACAAGATAATGTTTTTTAAAGGATAGAGGGAGACTTTCATTGCTGCAACCACCACCCACTGAAGAACTGAACCAGAGAAAAATAAAATAACTAGGAGGCAAGGAGGGGAGAAGATGGTGGGGAGAGATGTTTTCTCAAAAGCCGTTAACAGAATCAGGAGAGAAAAAGGGAAGAAAGCAGCTGACTGATAATTTATTACACTGCATTTAGCAGGAAAGAGAATTAAAGCAGAAAAAGAACTTGGCTGTGGGCAATGTAGCATTTCTCACCTACTGAATGATATAATGCACCCAGATCAAAAATAAGGTCTGGCAGAGAAGATAACATCATATGGAAGCCTGCAGTGTTTTAGCTCTACTGGTGGGAGTTGAGAGCAGGTGAACAGATTGTTTAGCATTAAACTAATCAATGCTAAATGAATTTCATATTAATATGCCCAATAGTGATGGTCATTCAAGCCCTAGAAATATCCAAAGTATAGTGTTCACTATATAATACAGACACTCTATTTTTACAGCTCTCATTTTTTTCAAATCCTCTATATTCATAGGGGCTAAATTGTCTATGCCACCTCCTTCCCCATCAGGGCTGCATAATGGTTCTGACACTGGTTACAGAAGAAGTAGTTGTAACAGTACCCAGTTCCTACCCCAAAAGTTACCAGCATGGTTTCAGTCTAGAATTACAGTGTAAATATTAATTATTGGAATTAATGCAGTATTTGCTGGTGATGGAACTCTGTATTCTTTCCTGGACACTGATTACTCTGAGCTTGTTAGTGTTGCTCATCTGCATGTATTTCCAGAAGATATTTGTCATGGAAGTAGGCATCATAATCACTAATAAAACCTTTCATGTGTATTTAAATTAGGGCAATTTGAGAGAAAACTGGGTTCACAAATAATTTGATTTCAACAAGGTTTTCAACATTGTGTCCCACAGCATCCTCATGGGCAAACTTAAGAAGTGTGGGTTGGACATGTGGACAGTGAGGTGGATTGAGAACTGGCTGAGTGGAAGGTCCCAGAGAGCTGTGATCAGTGGCACAGATTCTAGTTGGAGGTCTGTCACTAGTGGCATCCCCCAGGGCTCTGCACTGGGAACAGTATTGTTCAATTTATTAATCAGTGACTTGGATGAGGGTACAGAGTGCCTTCTCGGTAAGTTCACTGCTGTTAACAAAACTGGGAGGAGTTGCTGATACCTCAAAGAGCTGTGCTGCCCTTCAGAGGGGCCTTGACAGTTTGGAGAGATGGGCAGAGAAGAACCAGCTGAATGTCAACAAGGGCAAGTGCAGGGTCCTGCCCCTGGAGAGGAATAACCCCGAGCAGTGGTGCAGGTTGGGCACTGACTTGCTGCAGAGCAGCTCTGTGGAGAAGGACCTGGGGGTCCTGGTGGACAACAAGTTGTCCATGAGTCAGGACTGTGCTCTTGTGGCTAAGAAGGCCAATGGAATCCTGGGATGCATTAAGAAAAGTGTTGTCAGCAGGTTGAGGGAGGTGATCCTGTCTCTTTACTTAGCCCTTGTGAAGCCACATGTGGAGCACTGTGTCCAGTTCTGGGCTCTTAAGTATGAGGGACATGGAGCTCCTGGAGCAGGTCCAGTGGAGGGCAGCAAAAATGATTAAGGGACTGGAGCACTTCACTTACGAGGAAAGGTTGAGGGATCTGGGCCTGTTCAGTCTCAAGAAGAGACAACTGAGAGGGGTCTCATTAATGTATATGAATAAGGGGTGCCAAGATGATGGATCAGGCTCTTCTCAGCAGTGCAAACCAATAAAACAAGAGGTAATGGACAGAAACTGATGCACAGGAAGTTCCACCTGAATATGAGGAAGAACTTCTTTACTGTGCAAGTCACTGAGCACTGAACAGATTGCCCAGAGGGGCTGTGGATTCTTCCTCACTGGAGATACTCAAGAACCATCTGGATGCAATCCTGAGCCATGGTTTCTAGGATCGCCCTGCTTGAGCAGGGAGGTTGGACTAGATGACCTTCCAACCTAACTGATTATGTGATTCTGTGATTCTGTGATTTCAGAATCATTTTTTTGTGTACTTTTTGACACATGGTGCCTGGTCTAGTGATTCAGCTTCACATAATATACTGTATCATATGGATTCATATTAATACTATTTTTTCATTTGAATAGAGTTTAAGAACTTTCAACAATTCATTTTAGAATACTTCCAACAAAATTGGTTTTAGTTTTGCAAAGTGCAGCAATTGACACTGCTGGGAATCATTTTTTTGTGTACTTTTTGACACATGGTGCCTGGTCTAGTGATTCAGCTTCACATAATATACTGTATCATATGGATTCATATTAATACTATTTTTTCATTTGAATAGAGTTTAAGAACTTTCAACAATTCATTTTAGAATACTTCCAACAAAATTGGTTTTAGTTTTGCAAAGTGCAGCAATTGACACTGCTGGAGAAAAGTTACATGTTGTTTCTAAAGAAAAGTTACATGTTGTTTCTAATGTGTATGGAAAAGTTACATGTTGTTTCTAAAGAAATGTGTATGCTTGCATGTTTTACTGCCTGTTTTGCATTCCTGGTGCAAAGATGATGTAGTATCCTTCAGAAAAGAGAACCGTTCGTCATTCAGCAGACTGTATATGTGTATGTTTCCTCTTAGTACTGAGGATATTTCAGTAGAGATCTCTGAGCCCCATTGAGATCAAGCCCTTCATTACAGCACCAAGTAAAACTGTAAAAGCAATCAGTTCTCAAAGTAGACAAAAATTGAAAGAAAGAGATGTTTTTCTGTCTTTCCTAACATCACACAGTGCTTGCTTTTAGGACCCAGACCTCCACAATCCCTTCATATGTCTCCCAGAGGCATAAATTTCCTTGAGGACTTAATTAAAACATTCTAAACTTTGGTCTTTCAGATAGACCCTTCTTTGTACAAACCAGTAATTCCTGGACTATGTTTATTATTGCACTAAACCAATGTGGCTTGGACTTCATGGAGCTCTCACTAGGACATGTGCAGGATTCTACAATGAGAAGTAGTTTCATTAAATATTACATGTATTGTTTTGAGAAAGTTTAGCCTCACAGAGAGTAACTTTGGAACATGTACATGTATTATTTATTGACGCTTGTGCCATGTTCACATTCAGAATGGCCTATTTCAACATCTGTTCCTGAAGAAAGTGAGCATCTGGTGTTTCACAGATAATTGAAACATGACCTTGCTGTCCTCTAGGCCTACCAGAAAATGGAACCAGGATTTCTAGGTGGATGACAAGACCTGGTTCAGTGCTGGATGCAATTCTGGTCACACCTTTTACATGGGGTGTGGTCGGAATAGGGTTTATCTGTTATACCATTTGCAGGCAGAAGTACCAGCAACTGCAGTGTTGTGCCCTGGGATCAGAAAGAAAAAGAGATTTTTCCATCACAGAGAGATAAAATAGGAAAGTTTTTGAAAGGTCTATTCCTGTTAAACCTTTTCCTTTTTTTGCTCCATCACAGAGAGATAAAATAGGAAAGTTCTTGAAAGATCTATTCCTGTTAAACCTTTTTCTTTTTTTACTGTGAAAATCTGAATTTGTGATCCTTCTTTTGCCCAGACAATTAAGTTCATCATACAGTAAAGGAACAAATTCACCTATCAAATGACTGCTTGGTGACCGGGATATGGGGAGAGAGTTTGTTCCCAGGTTGAGTTTGTCCAAAGAATTAAATTGGCTCACAGAGGAAGTGGCCATGGGATGTCACTTGTGTAATACAAGAAGCTCCAACTAATTTTGTCTTTTCTTTTCCTGAAGCAAGGTACATAACTGATTATTGCTCACTACGAATTATAAAGATGAGCTCACTTCTGGCCAACAAATAAAATATTCAGTCTTTTCTCTGTGTTAGTACTCTGTTTAGCTCATAGGTACAGTTTTTAACCAGAGGAGGCTATTACTGAGCCTGAAAGGTCCCAGAAGGAAACTACTATGCCCTTTTGTTGCTTGTTTTCCTCTGTGACAACCTTCCCTAGAAATGCAGACTTGTGAATAAGTAATCTAAAATACCCATTTCTGTTAGCAGGATTTGATTTCTTTGTGCTCCAATTTATCTACATGCATCTATGTGTATGTGTGTATGCATGTACAAATGCAGACAAATGCTCTTTCTCCTGGCATTTGCTTTGTTTCTTCTTTAGGATCGATAAAACAGTAAGGCTGTATGCATGTACAAATGCAGACAAATGTTCTTTCTCCTGGCACTTGCTTTGTTTCTCTTTAGGATCAATAAAACAGTAAGGTAACCGAGTCAAAAGAACTGCAAGACAATTGAAATACCAGCAATGTATTGCAAATTCAGATTGCAATACCAAACCATGCTTGTCTGCTTTAATAATCACTTGTACAGAATTCACTGGTCTGATAGGCCAGTTGCATTTCTGCACTTCCTTTGAAAAAGCACTAAGGGCGGGAAAAAGCAATTCTTAGTCATAGAATTAAAAAGCATATACCACCAGACTCCATCAAAATTCTTACAGCCACTCTTACACAGCAAACAGCATAAACATTGTCTCCACAGCTCTAATCCCTCCTACAGACTTCAGTCTTGGGAAGCTACACCATTTTGATTTCCCTTTTGCTCTGTGTTTGTTGCATTTGATTGATTCTGACAGACCTGTTACCTGCATAACCACAGGGTTTTTTCTTGCCAGGTATTATCAGCCGCCAGGAGGCAGAAGAGTTGTTGATGAATAAATCTGAAGGTGCATTCCTGGTGCGAGTGAGTGAGAAAATCTGGGGCTACGCATTGTCTTACCGTCAGCAAAGCGGCTTCAAGCACTTCCTAGTTGATGCTTCAGGGGATTTCTACAGCTTCTTGGGGGTAGATCCAAGCCGACATGCAACACTGACAGATCTTATTGATTTTCACAAGGTAACACTTGCTAGGTAGAGATCAATAGCTGAGTGGAATGGATTAATAATTTAACGAGGAGCTGTGTAATTTGAAACCACACTGGAAAATAGTAGCAACCATAGTGGGGAAAAGAATGTTCTACATTAAACCTAGTTCTAATATTCACAGTTTGTCTTTTGTTGCAGTGAATCAGAAGGTTTTCCCCCTTCTTTCAAATGCTTCAGCATGTATTTGTGTCCCCTTACACCATATGTGCTCTCCTTGGCTACAAATAGACTAATAAGGGCTGACAGAGATAACACTTTTTGAGCCTTTTTGCTGCGGAAAATTTGATTGGAAATACCATAAAAAGGTCTTTGAATGAAATTTCAGCGTTTTTTGACCTTTGATGTGAAGGCTGTAATGTACAAAAGCAGTGGAGTGGAGGCCTGCAGTAAAGAAAGGAACATGGAGGGGTTCTCCATGTGTAAAGGATCACTCCTTATTAACTGAAACAATCTTAGAAGAGTAATGTACTACTTGACTTTGGATGGGTTTGAATTACTTTGCCTCTAGCTTATGTTTCTTGTTGCCAGACAGTAACTAAACAACAGCACTGTTTCTGATAGCGTTTTTCATCATCTCTCTCCGTCTTCATCAGTTTTAATTCTGCTTTCTTCTTAACCATCCTTATAATTTCTCTTCATCTTCTCTTTTCTAGTTCCCTTTCCTTTTATCCTTTTCTCACTCTTGTCTTAAAACTTTTTGCTCCTTTTCTTTACAGCTTATAATTTTTTAAGTATTCAGTCTCACAGAGGTTATTGTTCTTCTAATTTATCTCTCTTAAATCTTGCTTTTATTTCAGCTAGTTTGCAACATCTGTTTATTGTTGCCTTAGTGTCCACTATGACATTATACGTGCAGAAATTATATTTCCACATGGGGAGATAGTAGGTATCACATTTGACTAAAAAATATGTCCTCCCCCTAATTTGATGAAATTCTCTCTTAATGGCCACCTTGGAAGCCAAAATCCCCCACAGACATCTTCCTCTGTCCCAGTTTTTATTGCTGAGCATGACATTATACACTATGGAATATCTTTTAGGTCAGTTTGGGTCAAACAACTGGGTTGTGTGTCCCCTCCCAGCTCCTACCTTATTCCCAGTCTGGGAAGGACTGTGGAAAAAAGAGGAGGACCTGTGGAAAAAAGAGAAAGCCTTGATCCTGTGCAAGCACTGACCAGCAATAATCAAAAATGTAGTGTGTTATCAACACGGCTTTAGCCACAAATTCAAAACTTAAAGCTATACAGACTGCTGTGAAGAAAGGTAGCTCCATCCAGGACAGACTCAGTACAACTTGAAAGAGGCTGACCAGGGCCTTGGAAGGGAAATGTGCAACACCTCTAATGCAGATTATCAGGCGTGGGATGTAGGACATCTGGCTAACATAGCATCTATCCCCTGTGCATTATCAAGTTTCCCAAAGCCTTCTGGTAACCAGCTATGCAATCTGTATGTAAATGGTAGTGCTGTGGGCACACACTTGCAGCTAGTGCTATATAGTTTGCAGAAGGTGCTGCTTTCCTAGGGACTATTTTTGACAAGAGTATGCTTCCTCACCCCAAAGGTTGTTTGGACTTCTCTTTGAGGGTCCTTTTCACTTTCAATCAAAGTCAACAGGGCTGGCATAACTGGCATAATAAATTTTTTACTTGCTTGTACTTATTGACTTCATTTTACTTCATTTTGATGTAAAAAAATAAGAAGAGGTCACTCAGCTGAGATGACAAGGGGCTGGTAACCATTAGCTGGAAGAACAAACCTTACAGAATAGGGTATGAGTGTGCATCTTGTATTTTTACTATATGCATTTAAATACTGTGTGGGAATGCAGCAATAACATATCCAAGATCATTGCTCAGTGTTTGTATTTACATCCTCATAAACTTCTTGTCTGGTAGACAAAGTAGTGATTAGTCAAAAGTTGGACTTGATGATCCTAGAGGTCTTTTCCAACTTAAATGATTCTGTGGTTCTTTGATTCCGAAAAGAATTTAATTTGAGTAGTAACTTTTGGAACTTATTCTGAGTTTGATGTAGTGATTGAGAAGGAACGACAACTGGGAGCCTGCATGTGTTCTGAGGAAATCAGGCATTGACTTTGCATTGCATTTTGAATAGAAACTAGAGAAGTTTTGAAAATATTAGGTCCATATACAGATCCATAACTTGAACCTAATTTTTCAGGTGAAAGACTGCTATCTTAGTCAATATAAATCTGAATTCTGGCTCATTTTTGTGCATCTGGAAATGTTAAACTTCTACAAAAGTAAAAATGATCTATCATTACTGTGGGAATAAGTGCAAAGACCAAATTCTCTACTTTTCCAGTAAGTGTCTTGGTAATCAGTTACTGGAATGACAGACTCAGCATGCAAGTATTTAATTAATGAGAATAGGTGCTGTATGTAAAGACTGTCTATCCTTGCAAGGTTAATATCTTTCACCTTCCTGCAATCAGTCAGAAAGCTGTTGCTGTTGTGTGTGAGCACTTAACATTGAGCTCTTGCTTAGTCTGCCTGGAGAGGTTTCTTTCATCCCTATAACTATGGAAATAGCATATTAGGACTGGCATATTATATCTGTTAAATTAACCCATCAGGACATCCTTTATAGGTGTCTGTAGCTGGTTTTCCTAAGTAGTGTGACAAATAGCAGGTAGTACAAATCACAGCCTATTGTGTACAGTGATTTCATTATTTGATAGTAGCACAGGTTACTACTGGCATAAGTACAAGTAAAGCATGAAGAAGCTGATTAGTTGATATGATCTCTTTGCTGGTCTGTAATTATTTATCAAATGGTTATTCATAATTGGTTGCAAATTACTGTGGAGTGATAGTCTTTATTGCTATTTTTGAAGATAGGGAAGGTTTAGACCTTTGATATTTTTTCAATATTTGATACTGTTTCTTTCTTTCCAGGAAGAAATCATCACATCCTCAGGTGGGGAGCTACTACTGGAGCCATGTGGACAGCAGAAGAATCCACCAGACTACAGCCCTTTATTTGAATAACTGATCCAGGACTTAACAGGAATGAGTTCTGGATAGCTGTAGTAATAGATAGCTACAAAAGTAAAGAATTAAAGTAGTTAACAAAATTCCAAAGCCACTGGTCTTGTGGCCAAAAAATATCCTCATTAGAAGGCCTAAAATATTTCTGGTTTGCATCTGAATTATCATAATTATTCATATTGCTAGCATTTGAAAGGTGAGAAATTACCAGCAAAGAGGACTACTCCCAAAAATGTTTTAAGAGGTTGTGGCCAATTGCACAGAATGCTAACTTCCTATCTTAATTTTCTTCATGTCTGAGATAGAAAATGCAAAATGCAGCAAGGAGCAAGGGCAGGAACTATTCATAGAGTACTGTATGAAGTACCAGTGTTGATGAACAGATTCTTTTTTCCAAAGCAAGTTTTGCCAGTTTCTGTTGACTATTTCATTACTCAATGGTGCACTTATGATAACAAGAGAAGCAGGTATACAATATTCTTGTGCAGTTTGTGATTGCTTACACAGTTAGGTGTAGCTTGAATCTTGCCATTATGCTTTTGAATTTAGGCCTACAAAGGTCCCCACAGCAGAGACAGAATAATGTCATATACATTTTATTTACAATTTTCTGCAGTCCAACAGCCTTGGAAAGAGCTTTACTCCTATACAGATAGCAGTCAGTTTACTCTAAAGAAAACAATTTGATTTGTAGCAACAAAAAATCATCTCACTGGCCTTGTCATGTTTTCCACTTTTAGACATGTGAGATACCTGCTGGACATTCCTAATTTCACTTTGGTATATGACTGGGTATTTTCCTTAGCTGAGTTATTTGTGAAGGTGGAGCTGGTATATTTATCTATAGAAAAGGTACAACTAATTGCATTATCATCATACTAGTTTATGTTTAAAAAAAGATGCACAGAATGTGTTCCTGATCCATTTACTATACATATTAACCCCATGAAAATAGTCTACCTGGAGCAGTGGCTTAGTGTTTGGACTATATTAAAAAAAATAAAAAAACCCCCATCTCCTCATAGTAGTTAATTTGCCCTCCTGAAATTTGAGTCTTAGCAGTCCTTGCACTCTAGGCTATCACACAGTATAGATGTAGTTCTGCATTGTTTCACTGGCAAGCTGGACACTACTGAGGCAGCAAGTTCAGGAAATGGAGTGAGAGTGTTGCAGAACTTTTGCTATTGCCTTCCTGTGGTCTCTGCTCTGTACCCCTGAATAGCTAGTTAGAAACTGCTGGGTATAGAAGTGGGGTTTTTCTCAGCTCCAAATATTTATTTTGCAGGGCAATATTTCAAATAAGAGGATTGTGACAGTTTTGCTTACAACTGATTTGTTTCAAGTTTGAAGTGGAACAAGAAGGAAGTAGATGTGTACCTATAGGTTAGTCTCATAGTTATTAAAATAGGGAGTTTCTCTGTACTTTTTCATATCTTGAGATGTGGACCAATGTGAACCAATCCAAGTGTGTTACTACAACTCCATGGTTAATTTTCTCGTGGAATCTCTGAACATATCAGAAAGTCATACTGAGCATATTTCTATATGCTGCTGTGTTGGGCAGTCTCTGAATTCCTATGGGTTCTCTTTGAATTCCTGGTGCAAACTTCCCTTCTGAACCCCATGTAAATTCCTTTCTCCTCAAACAGTCATTTCTCTTGACTCACTGTTACCTTCTATACTTTGATCTAGATGGTAAGCTTATCTAGGAAGAGAAACTTGTCTTGTTGAAGACTATAAAACACACTAAATATTTAAGGTGCTACAACAATAAATACTTGTGGTAGTAATAGCAGCATTTTTTTCATAATTAATTCTATATTTAGCTCATGTTAAAGTATAGATTTTTGCACACAAGCTTCATTGTTGGTCAGGAAAATTTTCTTTTGTCAATATAGTTTTATGTGTGATTTAATCCATCAGTGTTTGTGTATTGAACTTTCTAGAGACTTAGCTGGGCAGTTTCTGCACTAATCACTTGGGACACTGGCAGATTAGGACATAGCAAATAAGCAAAGAGGTAGATACCGAGGCTCCAAAGAACCTCAGCATCTACCAGCCATTTCCTCAGAGAAACTAGCTCTGCACTTGCTCCCTCCATACTAGGCATCTGAAGAACCAGCTTGGCCTCAGTTTATTCATGGTAGACCATGTTCCATCACAGAACAACTAGACCCCTACTTTAAAGGAGAATTGAAAGATACCTTTTAAAGTGAAAACATATAGGTATCCATAGAGTTCTCTGAGGCCAGAAAGCAGCAGCTGGCTGTGTGGAACTGAGGCTCCAAAGGTGGTACTGAATAATTAAGGCAATGTTTATACACCTAGGCATCTTCGTAGACTGGTGTTTTGCCTGTATGAGCTGAAAAAACTCCACAACAGAAACCCAAACAAACCAAGAACAACAACAACAAAAAAAATGCCACCTACTTTTTGGAAAAGGTGCTAGGCATGCTAGAAGACATGCAAATTCCAAAGTTTTTGGAAGATTATTCATGCCATGGTACACAATTCTGTGAATGTTTATAGACACAATATTGAAGACTTTGTTCCATATGGAATTCACATTCAGAGATTGATAGTAATACAGCTGTTTATTTCTAGTGAGACACTTCCCAGCAACAGCTTGTGTTTTGTTTAGCCATTAAGAAGGCTTGGAAATACCAGCTCTATAGTTTATGTGGCCTCTTGTGATGTGATTAACATCAGAACAGCATCAGCATTGTCACTTCAGAGCACATTTCCTAATTCTAATTTTCTACGTTTTTCTGCCTAAATTCTATCCATTTCTAATCTTAAGTTTTACCTGACTTTAAAATAAGGCCATTGTAAGATCCCCTGCAAATGATATTACTTGGAAAACTGCAGTTTCTTCTGAGAGCTTTATTATGCTAATAATGGCAGACTTCTCAAGTAAAGGAATTGCCTTTTTTTTTTTTCATAGCCCCACAAAAATAATGAAAAATAGCCAGCCAATTCATAGAGTTACCTGGAAGGAAAAACTCAACCATATATAACCAGCAGCAGCAATAAAATATAGTGCACTTAACTGAAGATAAATTTTGAGGGAAACAAAAGGAGATTGTAGCTAGCAGAACTTAGGCAGAAGCTTTTGGTGATGGAGATGTGCAACAGTTGCAAATATACTTGAGTGAAGTACAAGCACAGAGATATTTTCTAAGCTAACAGATGCTTTTTGTTGCCTTCCAGAAAATAAGTGGACTATGAAAAGGTAACCCAATTAGCAGTAAGAATAGAAGGGAAAGTATTGAGGGCATAAATATGGAAAATTAAGGAAATATTGCCTTCCAGAAAATAAGTGGACTATGGAAAGGTAACCCAATTAGTAGGAAGAATAGAAGAAAAAGTATTGAGGGAATAAATATGGAAAATTAAGGAAATGAGAAAGGAGAAAATGTGCTTATCCCATTGCTTTGAAAGCTTTTTGGATTTTTTGCTGTTCTGAGAGGAAGACTTGGACGTTGCTCCCTTCTTTTCTCTCTGCAAGTCTGCAAGATTGCAGCTTTGAGGTAAATCTACCTCAGCTAGATTTTACACTGTTGAAGCTCTAAGAGTTGGGCTGGTCTCTGCTGTGGCTTTGCATGCTGCGTCTGCTTCAGGCTGTGCCTCTACATGCAGTGCTGTCTGAAGCTGTTCATCACTGTGCAAAAAATCTTTGCAGTGCTGCAGTTTCCTTGTCTGCAATGGCTTTATTCCATGGCATGATGATCTTCCAGTCTTGCTGTCTGACCTATTTTTCTAGTGGTAGCTTTGTTGAGTTATAAGAGGTATGTGTTATGGATTTTCATTATAAGATTTCTGGTCAATTTTTCTTGTTGTTGAGACCACAGAATACACTGAGACCTACTATAGTAATTGTTTTTCATAAGGAAAAATGCTACAGCAATAAGGAAAACTTTTAAACTCTTAAATTGACTGAACTTTTCTCATATCTGTTTCACAGCAAAAAACATGGCACACAAAATCCCAAGCTTGTTTGCAGGTACCTTTGAAAAAACAGCTCTTGAGGATTTATTCTTGCTTCTTCCTGGATCCACAGATCTATCTGTTCTTTTGGATTTTTAGTCTGTTGTTGTGCATAGACATCTCCAGTTTAACACTGCTTTCTTCTCTGAAAAAGAACAAAAATCAAGCAAAGAAATTGACAGCAATCATGGATGAGATTTTCAAGAATACCCAAAGAATGTAGATGCCAGTCTATTACCTATCATAATTAATGGAATAATGATGTAATATGTGTATTTACATATTAATTTTATAATAGTTGTCCTGGATTATTCTTGTAAGTACTAAATCCTTATTGTTCTGAACAAGTCCTTAGCAAAAGAATATAACACCTGCCTCAAGAAAGAGATTTATTTATAACAAAGATTTATTTTTAGGCTTACTGAGTAGAAACCTCTGTTCAAAGACCAAATTCAGAGTGAGAATTTCCACCAGATTTCAATGACTTTTAATCAAATTAATAGAACCTATTTCTTTGCTGAGGTGAGGCAGGATTAATACAGTGACTACAGTAAAAGAATTTAGCTTTGCACGAACTCGGGATCCATTTCTCCTCAGTCTTCTCACAAGTCACCATGAACATGAACATGAAGCATTAATGGAGTTACACCATGTTTCACTGCAGTCTAAATTCTTGTCTTTACATAAAGCCACAACAGAAACCTAGTCTTGGGTAGAGTGTGGTAGTTCACAGTGGAAGAAGCTTTTTTCTTCCTTTATATTAATGTTTGTTTGCATAATTTACAGGTTAGAGTTTATTTTTCAATGATTTTCAAGGGCTTACTTTCTTTCCTGTTTTATTATGCCTTTGCTTTAAGATTCCTCTCTCCTTTCCCAAGAGGATAGGGTAGGTGAGCTCTGTGAAGCAATAATCTGTCCCTGGCTGGGCTATCAATTGCAGAATGTGGTGTTTGCAGATGCTTGGTTTGTGTTTCTTGAGATGAATCTTCTGGATACATACTGTCTGATGATAA